TCCAGTCAATAGTTTGAAAAATAACTCTCATTATATTCCTACAAATCTCAGTTGTCTCATAGAAAGTCAAGTTCCCTTTCATGATTCTCGCAGTCTGAGGAAATATGAAGTCAAAGAATTCCTTCTTTGTAGTTCAACAAAATTTTGTAGTGCCTAGTATCATAATGCTGGTTAGCAGATATTTAGAATTCAAAGAGATTTAGAACTTCATACATGTAAGTAGAATTTCTGATTTTGCAGAACACAGATGATGAATTCTGAAATGATGCTTACGAAGCACATAGATTTTCCAACACCTCTAACCAACAAAAAGTACTCTGAACTCCAATAACTCCGAGCAGCAGAGAACAGTTGCTGACATCAATTGAAACAACTCTCGCTCATTTGAGCACATCTTTGTCCACCTTTCTAATCCAGTCTGCATCTGGGTTCAGCAAAAGATACTTGGTACCAAGATTCTATATTGCTTCCATACACAAGGTAGTTCAAGCAGAAGTCACCATAACTTCTGCATTGTTAACATCTTGTGTTTGCAAATGCTCAAGATACTCAAGTATCTTCACAATCATATTCTTCCAGTAATTCCAGTGTGACAAGGGTCTCAACAGAAACCTGGTTTCTATGAATTATGTCTTCTGAATATGCTACGAGATCAGAAACTAATTCGTCTCCAACCATATTTAGAGCTACTTAATGAAGATGGAAATCCAAATCTTTCGACAGATAATATTCACCTCTAATACTTGATGTCTCTTTGAAGCATTTAATTGATGACTCAGCATAAATAGGTTGCACTGCTCTTTGATAAATGTCAGCTTCATTTCGAACAAATTCGAAAATTGGCTTCGAGTCATTCTCCGCCCATGACTTGGCCTTTCCCAAACTCCTCCTTTTGTCCAAACTGCTTCAAAGGCCAGCCATTGCTACCAGGTGACCATAGATTGGAAAACACGTAATCAAGTATAAATGCAGATGCTTCTTTGAAATTCCCAGCTTTCTGTAGCAAATCAGCTGCACGGAGAATATCTCCTCTCATTTTTGCAATATTTGCAGCATCCAGAAGTTTCCCACTCTTCCTCCACATAGAAGTTATCAAGCAATTCAACGACTTCAAAAAGTTCACGTTAAATCCACTGAATGAAAGCTTTCACAAATTTCATCATAGATTTCTATCTTTGAGCTCATGATGATGAAAAGCCACCTCTCCAGAAAGTCTTGTTCAATTGTGTTTATTTCTTCACTTCTTTGGACAGACACATCTGTATATGTTGTTTCCAGTATGGATGTTGCAATCCAACATCAAAAAGCTTTCCTTTGGAGCAAACGTCAAACATTCTGGCAAAAAATTCCCTTGGCATACACCTCTGCTGCAAGCTCATAGCTCCTGCAAGACAAAAAACATTCCCCAGCCCTTTCCAGCTCTGGTTCCTCACATTTTTCCAAATAAATCCACCTGCAGGAACAAGAAATGGAAGTCTTAACGTCAAATTTAGTAACTCAATCTGAACAATATATAATATCCAGCACTTTTGCCATTACTACTATAACAAGGGCAAGAAGTTCCCTGGAGAAAAAAAAAAGTTTAGTAGGAAGAGTATTATTGCAATAGGTCACACGCTGAAAACTGAAATGTATCCAGTCACTTTTGGAGCTCTCATCTTGGTGCAGAAATGGAACTGCATAAAGAAAGCTGCTAAACTCAGTTTCACACACTAAACCTTCTGATAAGACTGCAACAATACAGTAGATTGCATACCAAAACCTTCTTATAAAACAATAACTGCATCTGGAGAACATCTAAAAGAAATCTATGGTCTGTTCTCAACAGTAAGTTTGCTTAACATCAAATTTTTGAGTCACAAATTTATCAGCAACAAATATCAAATAGGAGAAACTTCTGAGATGATATCTAAGTTTTCACAGTAAATATAAGTAAAGAAGTACATCCATAACACTGCAGCACATAAAGACAGCAAGTTATATTCCATCAAATTATCATATCCAATTCATACCTGCTCTTTCATACTCTCCCAGCTCATAAAAACACTTGGCAGCAGAATCGGCCTTGTTATGGTTTCAATTTTATAGCAGCTTGCCTTAGTTTAATATTAGCCTTTCAGGGTTCAAACTGCGGATGCGGTCACATCAGCCTTAAGGGCAGTAGCTTTACACCTTTCTTCCAGTAAAAATCCTTAGCTCTTTCGAAGCATATAGTTGCCATATCATATTGTACGCAAATGAAATGCTGGAAGTAACAAATAATTGCCAAAAGAGAAAAAAAGATATTTAGTTATCACCAAGAAAGGGAAGTGGGTTCCTACACTGTACACACTCCTACCACAAACAAAGTATGACTTCAAATGGCTGCACTGAGATTTTTCGATGCAGCGTACATGATGCAGTCTAAATATGAATGTGAAATGGCTCAGCTAGGAAAAGGGTACCGGAATTGGAGAGATGAAGATGAAATAAATATTGTTAGCAGTATGCAAAACCAAATGTATTCCGAGTATACGTCAAATAAAAAGGTTTCACAATTTAAAGCATGGCAATAACAGTAGACAACTATGATGATTGGAGGAAAAAAAAAAAAAAGAACCTTGATGCCCTGCGATTTCCACTCCTCTGGTGTACTCGCAACTTGCATTGCATGTGCCAAGGAATCATCCACGTTTTGACTTCAACAAGAAACTTCTTCTTCCAATAGTCAAACATAGGTTTGGAGACATCCTCTCTATCCTCCCAGACCATAACCTTTGCCTTGTACGAGTGATGGCGACATACAGTTGCTTCAGTTCAGCACACAAGATGTTGTGTTTAGCTTCATTGAAGCTGGGAAGACCTAGTAACGTGGAGTCAAGCAAATTTTGCTCCTCCATATACTCGTAAATCACTCTCCATTGTTTCTAAGATGTGATGAACCAAAAAGTTGTATAACATACATCCTACAAAAAAATAATACAAGTCCATTAACGAAAAAAAAGGTTAGGATTCATAGAAATTACTGAAGAATAGAATGAGTAAGGACTTGGATAAATGAAGTGAAAACTTCCAACCAATCAATTTAGCAGTATTTAGCAATCAAATCCCCTCCTCATAAATTTTGAGGGGGTTTGATTCTAGATAAAGTTCAATCTTGTATTTCACTAGGAATAGTTGCTAGAAGTCGCAATCTTATATTATTACCTGCGTATCCTATCTTACATTGACCACGCTGAAGATGAAATGAAATGACAATTAAGGGAATAGTCTGAAACTAGCAAGTTTTAAGTTTTACTAGATCACAAATATGACCATTTCAGTATAAGATCAAAATGGATTAGAAGTACTTCAGGGATAGCATGAAGAAGGTATATAAAAGCAAAACCTTTGTTTTACTCCAATAATAAGACTTTCAAAAAAAAAAAAAAATGAATCACCTGAAATTCAAGGCCTTGCTGCTCTACTATGGTCAAAACAGAAGCTTGATTCCACAATGTCAGAAATAACCTTCCGAGCACAATCATCTCGTACTAATATCACCTGCTCCGCTCCAAACCCACTACGTCCCCACAACATTTTCACTCTTTCCAAAAATTTTTATGATTGCTTTCATTGTTCCCAGATTCAAGCAAAATTGGAGATTCCCCATATATCTAGTAGTCTCAGGGTTTAAAACATCAACATAGGGACGGAAGAAACGGTAAAGAGATCAATGATGCTCTGAGCTAACTTTAGTACACCTGCATGGGTACGGAAGTTTTGGCTCAAATTAAGAATTTTTGAGAGTTGCCTTTCCGTTCTCGCCATGTTCATTGCTTCTTGATTCCAGTACAAATTTGTGTAGAACAGAGATCGTATATCTTCAAACTTGAAGTCAATTCCCCTGGCAATTGTTTGTGCTGTATCACCAGAAAAAACAAAACCCTCTTCCACATTTTTGCATATATTTGAACAGAGCAATTGACTCATTGTAAGATCCTGCACCTCGTCAACAAAACAAAAGAATTTGATCTCCTTTCATACTTGTATATCTCAAGATAATTGGTTGAAAAATATTAACTTCATTGGAAGCTGTGAGGCTTATTGGAAGCTGTGAGGTGTCATTGGAAGCTGTGGGATTTCTTTAGTTTTTCTTTAGAGCATAAAGGTTATAGAGAAATCATTATGAGGACTAATAGGAGAATAGCACATGTCGTGATCATTTTTTTGGGTGCTATCCCTGCCACACCCCCATAATACTAATTCATGTGATTTGGTTATTAGTAATTATAATTATGGATTGATTTTATATCGAATTAAGATATATAAATTACTTTAGTTCATTATTGATAATCATATTGATAGGATTATTGGTTGAAGTGTTATTTATGGACTATGTTGTTTTCTTAAAACTGTGAAAACTTCAAAATCAAATGTTTATGCACCTAGGAGTTAAAAAAAAAAAAAAATGTTTTCTTTTCTTAAATTAAAATAAAAATAATTAACAAATATGGAATTTCTTAAATTAAAAAATGTTGCCCAAGTGAGAGAATGTTGGAAATTTCCCAAATGTGGGCTAACATTAAATATGTTTTAATTTTAATAAAATTAGGTAAATATATATACATATATATAGTTCAATGAGATTTTCTAAAGGGCTTTGTGATCATTTTTAGAAAGCCCTATTCACTTCATATTTTATTAATCTGGGTTATGACGATGTAAGTGTGAGCTACAGAATTTATTGAGTCTATAATGGAAGTGTCCAATAAATTATTATTAAAAAGGCTATGTCCCCTTTCCAAACATACAACATATTAACCCCATTAAAAAATATCATCATTGTGTGCATTACTGAAAAGGAAGACAAGTAGACAATCGATTAAATCCTGATTTCAAAAAAGGCTTTCTGCATCGAATTATGGCACAATCAGGTTTGTTATATCCCTAATTCAATTATTCAGTATTTTGTAAACTATTGTATATCCTAGGTCATCATTGATTTGAAAGTATATATATATATTGTGATTCAATGATTGAGCTTGCATGAATAAATTTATGTGATTAATCTTACAGAATCATCTCCAACTGTTCATCTGTTACATCAAATGGAAGATCCAATTCTCTACCATCACGGTCGGAAAGCAGATGGTTCACGACACTTGATGATAAAGAGTAGAATTTCATCAGCAACAAACTATCAATCGCCTTTGAATTCTCAACATAACTCCTACTGTCTGAAACAACTTCACTTAGTCACTTCCACTCTTATTGTCAGCAAGATTCTTGAAACGAACAATTTCTGAAGAGGCTGCCCAAGTCTTGGGAACTTCCAAATTCCTAGTCAAAAACAAAATAATAAATAAAGCTAAAGTCAGTAAAAGAGGAAACAAATATATTTCTTCAACAGAATCGAAAAAAGTAGACATACCCTTCAATATACTTCTCTTTGCAACGGTTTATGTAATCATCAGTGTACCTAACAAATATATCATCCATACGTTTTACCAAATTTGGAACATCTTCCAAAGGCAATATATCCCACACTTTCAGAGCTTGGGTGTAATTCGATTCTCTTACTATGTCAATTGTGCAAATTGTATAAAGACCTTGAACTTTGAATTGCTTAATAATATGCAAAGATCTTTCACAAACAGATTCTATGTTCCTCCCCTTGGGTCGCCAGCCACTTGAAAGTTTCAGTAGAAGGTTGATAACTGACTTCCTATTGCGGTCTGATGTCAGTTTTTTGAAAGATTTTAAGAAGCTATCACTAAAAACAACCTGAGAAATAAGAAAATGATCACTGACAAATATCAGCACTAACCATTGTAGGAAAATTTGATTGGCAAAGCAAGTAAACCTATGGAAACCATATACCTTCCACTTTTGATTTCTGAAAAGTATACTATCAGCATTCAGCAATTCATCCAACTCATCAAGCTTTTCTTTGGCTTCTAATATAGCTTTGGCCATATCCTTATCTTCATCAGCGTTAAAGAAACAATGCCGGTCCTTCGCATCACGGATTAAGATTTCCCAAACAGATTCACCATGAGTTAAGGTTCTCTCGTTCCCCAAAATCCATAAACAGTGCCTACACCATGGGACAGTAGTTATTCACCATAGTTAGTAAAACGAACTAAATGCAATGAACAACATTTACATATATACCTAGCCCTTGTAAGTGCGACATTGATTCTCTGTGGCTTGGACAAGAATCCAATGGATCCACTTTTGTTACTTCTCACAGTGGAAATTATAATAATGTCCTCCTCTCCTCCTTGAAACCCATCAATTGACTTCACTTTGACAGTAAAGCCGTCACTGCTCTTATACTTGCCTCCAAGTTTTTCTTGAATTGCTACTACTTGAGCACTGTAAGGTGAGACTATGCCAATGCTCAGCTTCTGTTTTGAGCCATTCCAATCTGCATATTATGAATCACCATGAATATAGAAAGGAGATTCAATAGAAAGAGTATTGGCATTTGGTCAATTTGAAACACTTCATTTCATTTATGGATGATTCATTATTTAAGTTTTTAAAACTCTTTTTCTTCAATCATATTTTAACAGGCAGTATATAATACAAATTAGTAAATGCATGAGAAATTAGGTAATAAGTTGAAAAGAATAGGACAGCATTTACCACATTAGCCATTGACAGGAAATCGGCACTTTTTGATTTCCATTTGCAGAATTGAATTAATTACAGGATAACAGTTGCCGAGCAACACAATCATAAGTCCATAAAATGTAGACAATATGAAACCAATATTGCGTTTCTCAAAGGGAAACATTAGAAATTAAATGAATCACGTGCTATAGAATAAGCTATGAGATGACAAATGAAAATCAATTAATTTTTAGATGGTAATATAAATGTTAGACTCCCAATACACATACCTTTGTACAGGTTCTGCAATATTTTCACCACAACTGCTACCTCAACCATATTTCTCCGGCTATGGCTGATTAACTCTTCTCTCCCATCTAATATATTGATGAAAGAATATGGACCAAACATTGGTGATCCTGACATAAAGACTTTTTCATAGCTTTTTCTTTTAACAACCGGGGAGTCTAAAATCTGGTTGTCATAGAAATATGAATTTGGGAAGTAGCTGATTGAGGGGTGCATTCGATACTGTACATTGAGCAGGTGTTTAGAGTGACCCAATGAGCTCAACCTCTCAAATAAACTTCTCCCGAAACCAGCTTCATCAGAAACCTGAAAACGAAGACAAACAAATTAGGGAAAACTGAAAAAAGAAGCAAATGCCAAAAACATAGAAATCACTAGAATTGTTGAAACAACATCAACATACATTGCTTTCAACCATTGCTGGCAATTGGCACTCATCCCCAATGAGAATAGTATGTTTTAAGCCCGGGAGTTGCAGCGGTATTGTCAACTCACTTTCTTTTAGTTGTGCTGCTTCATCAACGACCAGAATGTTCAGTGGTTCCATGGCCACTGAATGCAGCTTAAATGAACTAGAAGCAGTGCAGAATATTACTGAAGCTGTTTTAAAACAGAAATTTTTAATGAGTCTACGCTCATAGCACTTGGAAGCTCAAGTTTGCTAAAGGAATCCTGAAGAATTCTAAAACAGTGTGACATTCACCATCCTCTTGTGCAAAACAGTACTTTATGCCCAGATGAAGAAGACAATCTTCAGCTACTGAATGTGAAAAAAGCTCTTCTAGCTCCTCAGAAACTACACTGTCTTGAAACATAAAGTTTCAAGAGAATCAAGTAAGTGATCAGAGCTACCATGTTTTGAAAATTATTTTCCAAAGAAACTTTTGGGTATATGAGTACAGAGGATAAATAGACAATTCCTAGAGGAGTGGCAGTAGACTTAAATCTCTCTCTCACATATTCAAGAAATGACGAACTGCTCTTTAGACGCCTCTTTGATTCATCTTCACTACTGTTTTCTCGTTCTTTATCAGTTCATTTTCCAAGAAAATGTGTACTGAGAAACACAATCTTCAAGTAAATCGATCGTGGAAGTAAAGCAATGCCTCCAACCAGTTTGCATACCAAAACACTCTAAAGTCTTTTAACACGGTAATCCAAATATATTTCTTTTATTTCTTCACCAACTTTGAGTCTCTCTGTACTCCCAAACAACAGAATACTCCAAGAGGAAACAACAGAGTGCCTCTCCCTATTCATCCGTTTTAATTGTTTCTTTCAGCTGCTTTAGAACACGGGAGGCCACTTCCTAATTGCAACATTTGTTGGGGAACAAGTAAGGTTCTGCATTTTGTCCTTAACAATGTAAAAGAGAAGCATACTAACAGCTATTTTTTCCTGTCCCAGGGGGACCCCAATCAGTTGCACAGACGACTTGTGATCACAATGCACACTATCAAGGCAGGCAAAACTGCCTTCACTTGAGAATCATTCATTGTCGATGATAAACGAGACCAATTTCTCATTCCAGAGCCCCTTCTGCTCAGAACAGATTGGCACGTTTCCTCCAACTGTCATTCAACATGCAAGTTTCAATCAAAAACACCTTAATTTATGTCAGCAAGCAAAAAAGTAAATCGTCCTAGAAACTTACCACAGAATCAGTGCATAGAACTTCCTTGATAATCTGCAAATTTCGAGACATATGCAATGATTTCCATATTCTTATGTTAGGAATTATATTTACCAAGAAAATACAACAATGATTTCTGCCGATCACAACTTGGATCGTCTTGACGCCTTGACTTTAAAATAGATGAAGTGCTATCAGTCTATCTCATTTTCATCCTCTGGGATTTTTATGACTGATAGAAAAGACCACATTCTACCCACCCTTTCCAAGTCAGAAATGGTTTCGGGTTTCGCATCAGCCAAACCAAAATATCCCCCGGCAAAGTTTTATAAGGCTCTTTACCACTGTTACTGAATTCTGTTCCTCCAGTAATCAACCTTAACGTCATATATCTCTGCTTCATGTGGCTGGATCATCAAAAGCGACCACTTCGCATAAGGTGCTCCTGAAATATCTCCATTCTTGAAAACAGTTGTGCTCGTGTTTCTTCCAACAAAGATAAACAAAGACCCAAATACTGTTTGACTGACTCAAATGATTCAGGAATTTTTTTCACCTAAAAGATAAAACAATAATCGTTTACCAATAGAATATCAAATAAACATTTTCAGTCAGTATGGACTTGATTATAAGACGAAAGCACTTGAAGGTAAAGGAAGCCTCATCTGAAATTGTTATTCAGTCAGACCTCAATTGAAATAAGATGGAAAAGACCTAAAAATATTCTATTGTAAACTTGCAGTGCCCGCTAATTGAGGATAACCCAAAAGATAGACAGGGTTAAAACTAAAGCTTTGTCAATTAAGGTAATAAATATAAGTGATGACTTTTAACCAACTATTATAGCTTCTGCTTTAAGCTAGGAAACACAAGCACAAGCCATAGTTACAAACCTTAAAACACATAAGACAGCTTACTATATAATTTTGTCATCTTCATCTATCCACTTGATCCCTTTTTTTTCCGTTTACAATAAAAGTCTAATAAGAAAATAATTAGCTTCATTCGTTGATTTTTTTTCCTATAGAAACTTTGGTAACAGGTAATCTTCTTCAACCTCTTCCAAAATTGAAATAGCAAACCAGTATTACCCTCTCTAGCTACTCCATTTGACGGCATGTTAAGTTGTCTCTTAACGCAAAATCTAGGCAACAGGTAAGGAATTTTAACCGATGCTAGCAGTTAATAACTTCACTACAATATATGTAGCTACCTCATTAATTACAAGTGTCACAAATGCTAGTCCATTTTCATAGACAACTGAACATTACGATAATACAAGGGAAACCCAGAAGCTGAACATAACAATTAAGATACCAAACAAATATACATTAAACAATACTAGATACCCATTTTCCATTTTCATCAACAAAAGTTGTCACCATATTAGCATTTAATAATAAAATGACAAATTTTTAACTGCTTACCCTTAGAATCTACGGGCAAAAAAATATGACTTGTTTAAGAAAATGAAGAAGAAAAAGGAAAGCAAACCTTATGACTGAAAAGATTTTTATTAGAAATGTCATCAAGAACCAAGAAAAGAGAGTATGAGTGAAACCATAGTCATAATTGGGCTCCTCTCTTCTTGCTGCTGCTAAACCTTCACCTTCCATCATCATATTCATTAATTCTTCTCTGAAATTCCACATGCAGTTAAATTTGAAGTACCTTAATAACGGAGGCAACTAGCTTACTTCAGTAGGAAGAACTCCGATGCAAATGTAAATGCAATGAAGGAAACAAGATTCTGTATTATTTCCACTTCAAAGAAACTAGCACATACAACTTTGCTTTTTCTTTGTACCTACTTTAAAATACTTTTAAAGCAAATTAAAGAGACCAAGTCTCCTTGTTAGAATTCCGAGAAAAAAGCAAAGAATGAATTTGATGAAATATGAATGTTGCTAGAATTATGGCTGATTACACATCTCTCTCACCAAATCAAGGCTACAATCCTGGAAATCAATTACCCATGATTTCTCTAATTACATTATTGTGTTATTATTTTTACAGTTACATTTCTTGTATAAATACAGCATTGTACAAACACTGTGAACACAATTGAATACAATATAGATAAGTATTTCTGCATTTCTTTCTTTTTCTACTAGGATTCATATTTCTAATCCTAATAGGACTCTCTAATTTAATCATTATCTATTTTAACTCTAAATGAAATCCTAAACCAATTCTCTTTCCTAATAAACTTAAGTAAAAGGAAAACAATATTTTCAATTACAAATTCCTAAACTAAAATTTTCCTAAACTTAAATTCTTTTTCTTCTTGTTTGCCTTTTTCTTCTTGCTTGTCTTTTCTTCTCAATTACCAAAAAGTGCTCACACTTCGAACAATTCAATTAATCTGCTTCCACTTCTCAAGTCAATCTAGCCACTCCCTTTTTTTGTCCCTGCAAACATACAGAATACTCGGTTAGTATTGTTTTTTCTCTATACCCAATCTGGCCATTTTTTTTTTTTTTTTTTTTTTTTTGTCCTAGCAACACATAGAATACTTGGTTAGCATTATATAATATTTTTTCAAAATGGAAACAACCCAATAAACACATATCACAACCCAAGGTCGACAGACCCAAATTCACAAGCCCATCATGATTCAACTGTCACCCACAACCAGAAATGAAGCTCCAAAGATACTAGAAGCGTTGTAATATGCTGGTCGTTCATGGATCAGCAACTGCTTATCAGCAGAAGTGGTACGGAGCTTCCACTGACTAGATGGCTGCCAAAATCTGCGCAAATATAAGAGATGTACAGGAACTCAATCTGGCTAAAACTTTAACTCTTCGAAAAAAGCTTTCAAATCTCAAACAAGCTAACAACACTGTCACCACATCTTTCAATTGGCTCTGCCGTTTAGAACGAACTCGACACGGCTGAAGAAACCCTTGATGGGCATCAAAGACTCTCCTTAGTACTAGAGGATTCCAATCGTGACAGCTTATCCCAAGTTTTGCTTAGCCTCAGTAAAGCTTTTTTGGCCTTTAGGACCCGATTTTGGCCACGTCTTCACCACCCATCCTTCGTCGCACTTTTCAACTCGCCATTCAGGACGAGGGCCAACGGAAAAATCTCTACTAAGATTCACGGCCGACTGAAGCCGTGGCCTTTACGGGTTGAGAAAGATGGATGGCAAAAGAAAATGAGCGACTAGGGATAAAAAAGGTAAATTTATATGAGAAATTGAATGGCTCAGATCTTTCACTCCAATTTGACAACCAGAAGTTGATCGCCGTTCTCAACACATCTAACGGCCCAAGATGCCACATCACGCACCTGGTCAAACGGGTCAAACAGGTGGTCAACCAAGTCAACCGTGGGTCAAACAGGTCAACTAGGTCAGGAAATTCAAACAAGCAGGGATGGTTATTTTGCGAGTATTGCAAACATAGAATCATAACGATAATCGCTAAAATTACTTGGGCATCCCAAAGAAAAATCTGAAATCCACAGTGTATCAAGTTGACACCCTTCCTTCTGGAAACCAGCAAACAACAACCATGATCAACACAGAACAATACAATCAACTTCTCCACATGTTGAACAACGTCCTAGCCGCCCCTACAACATTATATGTAGGTACATCTTTTTGCCTAACTTTATCACAACTGATATATGAATTATTGATTCAGGGGTTAGTGATCACATTATT